TTACACCTGCCTCGATAGTAAATCTGATCGGTTTAAGTTAAAAACGACAGCGGATATCCAAAACAACCTTCAGTCTGTTGCTAATTGAGGTGAATGATGGTTTGTTAATTTTGACGTTTCAAAAATTAAACTGCTCTCTATTAATAATGTGAGAGACCCATTTTTGCCTTCCATCAACATGGCTGATGTTAACCGCCATGATTCTTTACGCCTTATCGGGCTAACCTTCTCAGCTGACAAGAAGTGGAAAGACCATGTTGAATCCGTTGCTAGGCGAACTGCTAAGAAATCTGATTTAATTTTTCTCTCCAGAATCTTATATATCTTTAAATCTACCATTCGTCCATGCTTACAATATTGCTGCCAGATATAGTCCGGTTCTCCTGGCATTTACTTAGAGACCTCTTTGATAAAATACAAAGAAGAATCAGCAATATTATTGGCCCTGTTTTGGCATTACGGCTTCACCGCCATAAGGTTGCCTCCCTGTTCATTTTCTATAAATCCTTTAATGGTAATATTTCGGATGAGCTCTTCACCATGATGTTTTTTAAACAGGGCGACAATGAATTGTACATATGGGGACTAATCAGGACTCTTATGGAGATACTGAGGTATTATGGTGAACACAGTAAGAAAGGTAAGTAGGAATGGAGTTAAGTTTTGGTGTTAGGAATATTATAATATATCTGGGTCAGTGTTTGTGGCTCGCTAAGTTTAAAGTTAAGATGAAGACCGTCCATTTCTCCATTTCCAATTTTGGCCTTGTGCCACATTTTGTAAATAATTAAAATAAATATCCCTCTTCGCTATGGTGTCTAGAGTTTTTTTATTTTTTTTTTAAGCTCAATACTGGAATGGCGACGATTTCTCGTCGATTTGCAGTTGAGTCGGCTAGATGTGGCCATAAATTATATGCTATTATTTACTCGCACTTCTGGCTTGTGGAACTCCCTTCCGGCTCCATGCTGTCCAGCCAACTTTAATCTACAAAAATTTAAATGCAATATCAATCGCTATCTACCGTCTTCCTGATTATTCTTTTTTTTGTTCTCGCTCCTTAGTAATGTTTCTAATTCTTCCACACCCAGTAACAGTGACTTGCTTGGGGCGAAATCAAATAAATAATATTTTATACAGTCCCCCAAACGTGTTCACGAATATTTAAACTGTCACAGGATTTACACTTGCTTTCTCAGATTAATTCCTAAAAGTTGTTCGAGAGCATTGTTCGAGCGAGATATTGTTTGGTGGCACAACAACACCTCCATGGGTTATTTAATACATCTAAATATGTCTATACTTCAGAGATGAGGTATTATATACACTATATACATTATTCGGACTATTGTCCTCATCTTTGTCGCCATATTTATTACAACGTTCCTGCTTTTGTACGGCCCGGCCTTCTTCAAGTGGTTGGAATGTCGAACTGAACCCTTTATTTCGCTCACTGGGGTAGACTTCTAGTTTTATGTGTCATGTATAATGGATGTCAGTTATCAGTTATCTCCTGTTAATTCCCCTCTGAGAGTTCTCCACTGCCTTAACCGGGTATTGCACACTTTTGGGGTCTTGTCACTGGATCTCTAACTAACGCCTTTATCCACTGTGTCATGTGTCCTTGAGTAAATCATGTAATTTATGATTCATTTATTCATATAATTTTTGTCAAATGTTGCAACCATGCCCAGGCGCTAAAAGGCTAATGGTTCCTTTCTCTCCCCGTATTCGTGTTCACTTTTTTTTTTTATCCAATTTAAGCGAACCATTGCCTTCCAATCAGAGGCTCCAAAGAGTATAATCAATCTCATCTGGAGTTTCCTACTGAAGTGTCTTTAGTAGTCCACTATGTTCGAAGTATAAGAATTCAATTCTCGGTGAAATGACCAATGAAACTAAAGTTTACCCAGAGATCCATTCGGCTACTGTTGTTATTAAGTACAATATGCATAGCGGGCCACCCGTATTCGAGGATACCCAACTAATAGGACGACTAGCCAATCCCTACTGTAGACGCTTGCTCAGGCACATTTGTGTTCATTCAACACCGACAGAGCCTCCCTGTTGTTTATACTGCAACTATGATGAGCAGACCTTAGTTATAGTTTCTGTGAAAGAGCGTGTTATCTAGCGTGATCATCAATTTGAATAAGGCTAGCATGTTCAAACCCTCAGCCACGATGACTTGTGACTTCGTGCTAGCCCAGGTATCAACGGCTCCCTGGGGTTCCGTCTACCCAATTTTACTCACAAGGCTAATGTCAACTTATGGTATGATTTTCAGGCACTTTCCAAAGGATCAACCCCTCCAGACTGATAAATCCAGAAAGTCGCCTTCCTGATAAATCAACCATGATGAGATTCGAACCCGGGTCTCATGGTCAGAATGCAAACGTTCTAACCACTCGGCCACTAAGTAATCACATTACAAAACAATGCACCGTAAAACGATTGTGCCATTGCTGGAAACACTCTTGGAACTGATTTTCCGGAATGCATTTCAGTAATGTAGTTTCGCATTCTTAGATGCCATGACTGTCAACAAATCTCTATCCTTTCAGCTCATTTTTCAATCTTGGGAAAGAAACAAAAATAACATTTAGCTAAGTCTGGTGATTAAGTTGAATGGTCCATTTTGTGAATGGATTTCTTAGAAATGAACTCACGAAATCCAAACTCATTATACTGTGACATTGTCACGACATCATTATGTGGCTCGAACCGGTGTTTACTAAGTACCGTCTTAGTTCCGTCGTAGTCCGTTTTGGTTATGTCGTCGCGTCAGTCTCAACGGCTTCTGGCCAATACACCAAAGCCGCACTGTCTCACTTTCTTACTAAAATTCAAATCAGCCGTCTTTTCAGAGAGAAAGCTTTTCTTGTATTAATTAATAGCACAATGCATATTGCCAGTATACACTATTATTATTTCTCTCAGATGGGAAATTTTGCCGACTACTTCTCAGTGACGAAGAGAGTGTAGTGAGTGACAAAAAAAAATCCCCTATCTTAGGTTTACAGACACACTGTACGCGGCGAAGATTCTTATTAAAGAATGTTGGAGGAAAAATTCCATTTTTACCAGGAAATCTCATCTTCTCATTAGCTGCTGATTCATCAATTCACGAAATGAAAAGTACTCGACAAATCTTTTTTTTTTTTTATTTGTTTGTTTTTTTTTTTTTATTTTTTCATTTTTGTATCGTATTTTAAAATACAATATATTTCAATAACTTGTGCGACTGCTTGTTAGTAGGGAAACAGTTTTCTTTAATATTTTAACTTATTATCCTGTATTTTCTATCAGAGTGAGTAATACATTTGTCACACCGAGGTGTCTTTTTCTTTGAATAGATTCTTGCAAGTCTTTTAGTATTTCCTAAGAATTAGTATTAGACTACTTCTATATATTCAAAGAAACACGCAGGCAAGGTATTGAACTGCTAACGATATACCCGTTCTATTTTTTTCAGCTGGTGTAAATTCTATGTTTTTCTCTGCAAACGCGAGCGTTTTGTTTCTGGATCCTAATGAAATCATCAAATTTCACCATTGGCAATGTCTCTATCAAACATTTCTACATTATTCAGAATAACATAGAAAAGGTGAGATCAATGTTTAGCGTGTTCGATAAGTTCAAATTGGGAACTGATCTCAAAAACGACATTCAGTCTGTTGTTAACCGGGGCAAAGAATGGCCTGTTAATTTTAACGCTTCCAAATCTAATCTGCTCTCTATTACTCATCTCAGAGACCCGTTTTTGCCCTTCATAATCAGGACACGCTAACCTCCGGAAGAGTGAATCCTTGTTCCTTCTCGTGTTAAGTTTCTCAGCTGATATGAAGTGGAAAGACTATATTGAATCCATTGCTAGGTCAACAGCTGAGAAAGTTGGTTCACTGTGTCAGGCGAGAGAGTTTTTTCTATCCAGAATCTATCTTACATATCTATATGTCTACTATTCGTCCATGCTTAGACTATTGCTGCCATATATGGTCCTATGCCCCTGCTATTGACCTCGAGCTCGTCGATACGATCGAATCAGTATTATTATCGGTACTGGTCTGGCAATTCTGCATCTATCACTTTCCCACCGCTGTAAGCTTGCCTCCTTCTGCCTTTTCTATAAATACTTTCGTGGTAATTGTTTGGATGATCTCTTCTTTATGGTACCGAGACTTTAAGAATTTAAGCGCAGTACTAAACTTGGGACGGGGTCTCATCAATTTACAGTTGAGTCGGCTAGATGTAACCGTAAGTCCTATGCTAACAGTTCCTTTTCTCGCACTTCGCGCTTGTGATCCTCTCTTCTGGCTTCATGTAATCAACTTTAACCTTCAAAAATTTAAATGCAATGTCAATCGCTATCTACTGTCTTCCTGATTATTCTTCTTTTGTTCTCGCTGCTTAGAAATGTTTCTGTTTTATAATTCTTCCACGCCCAGTAACTACTTCTGTCTACCGGTTGCTCTCTCAATCTTCGATCTGAGTGAACCAAGCTTCATACTTTGTCCACAGCTGTTTTTTATGTTTTTACGGCCCACGTTTTACGTCATCACTCCTCATTAGACCGTCTGTGTTACTTTAAATGTTTTTTTTATAATATGTTCACATTAAGCTATGTGTAATAGCGCCAACATTTCACTAAGACTCTTCTCTTCTGGGTAAGACGATAAACTACATCCAGCAGCAAGTCCTCTGATCAAGATGTTTAGAGAAGCGTGGAACCACCTCTTAATTGCTGGTGTTCTCAGGTTCACCCTGAAGCAGGGTGGTAGCGCCTGTTAGGGTCCCAGCTATAGGCAAATAGTGAACGATTACCAGCAATACTTATTTGAAAAAAACTATTACCAGCAATACAATTTTGAAATAAAAATATTACCAGAAACAGATTTTTCACAAAACAATATATTACCAGTAATAAAAATCTTGTCGGCATTAAATAACTCATTGAGGTTGATATGTCGTAAAACAAACCAAACCAAATCAATATATACTGAAATAGATAGATAGATAGATAGATAGATAGATAGATAGATAGATAGATATGAACAGACTGGGATAGATAGATAAAAAATATTGCCAGCAATAAAAATCTTGTCGGCATTAAATAACCCATTGAGGTTGATATGTCGTAAAATAAACCAAACCAAATCATCTTTTCCTCTTTCACAGCTCTTTACTTTTGCTCCCACTTTCTGTAACCCCTTGCGCGCTAGTGGCACTCCCACCTTGCTTGGGGTGAAAAGTTTTTAAAAAAAAATAAGCACGGACGCAGACACTTATATAGATACACGCATGCATACTTGGATAAATACAAAAAGACATCTTACTCCAGTCGCCTATAAGCAAAGTTCGGATAAATACCTTCCAGATTCTCAGGTCTGATGCCACCGTCTTCGCTTTATCATATAGGAATTTGATTCTTCTTCTTGTCTGTACTGGATTATACTGCCAAACTATCGTAGTGCACAAACAGATCACTGGTCTCTTAGTGCATAGCTGACCGTAGTAAGATGGTCGGATGATAGTTTAAGCTGCAGGTACCTCCAATATACGGCAGATACTTCAGTGTCCGGACAAACTTATTGAAGGATAACACTCCCTGTTCTGTGACCGCGGAAGCCCCTAGTGAAGGCGGGATAAAGATTGCTTGCCGGTGTTTTATCCTGATCAGCTTGCCACAGCTGGTGGGCCTCCACATTTGCGTTACCCGATCGAATAAATAAACACAAAATAGGGAAGCAGTTCAATCTGACGGTTGCCGCCTGGAATGCCCGGACATAGGGAGATGACTCTTCGCATCCTGAAAAGAGAAGAGCTCTAGTTGCCAAGCAACTAGCCACGTTTCGCATCGACACTGCAGTCATCCGGCAATCATCTTTAGCCGGCGACGAGGATCTTAAAGGAAGCACAGATGTGTTTTTCTTTTTATGACGCCCCCGTCTCCGGCGAAAGGTGAAAAACTGTAATTTGTGTCGGCTATCTAGAAATTTTAAAAGTGTCTTTAGAGAATACTATGGACAGACGATAATGATGACAAAAAGTTACGCACACATACACTGTCAATATACAAACACACACACATACATATATATATATATATGAAAAAATATACTCTTAAGATGTGCTATATTTATCGGATAAAGTGCTCAATATCAGAGATAGTGTGTGTAAATATAAAAAGTGAACATAGATGCAACACGTCAGGCCAATATCTTTTCATGGCTGACGATTGCATCTAGTCATGAAACAGACTGTCGCCTCTAAGTGTTGACTTCTATGTTCACTTTTATATATATATATATATATATATATATATATATATATATATATATATATATATATGTGTATATTAATACATATATGTGTATTCGTGTACATATATAGATATATATACACATATACGTGTGTGGGTGCGTACGTATACAAACACATGGTTACGCACACGGTTGAACCCAGACACACACACAGATAGACAGAGGCACTTCCATAAACACAAACAGATTTATACACATATTTATATACACGGGCACACTAATAGACGATCATACATTTATTTATATAGAATATAAACATATATGCATATAGACATGGATCTACACAGATATAGATACATAGATAAACAGACACACATATATATATATAACACACGGGAATACATTCATTTATCCAAAGAAGAATAAGCAATATTATTAGTCATGGCTTGGCATCTCGGGTTCAGTCATTTTCAGTCACTTTCCCACCGCTGTTTTGTATAAATGATTCTACGGTAATTGTTCGGATGAATTCTTCGTCATACGACCTCGACTTTATGAATTGAACCGCAGTACTAGATTGGCGGTTAGGTCTCATCATCTTACAGTTGAATTGTCTGGATGTACCCGTAAATACTATGCTAACAGATTGTGGAGTCTGTCTATATTTCTGAGATGAGGTATTATGTACACTATTTACATTAGTCGGACTATTTTCCTCATCTTTGTCGCTCCGGCCTTCTTCAGGTGGTTGGAATTTTCGAACTGAACCCTTTATTTCGATCACTGGGGTAGACTGTTCTAGTTCCATAGTTGTCAGTTATCAGTTATCTCCTGCTAATTTTCCCTTTGAAAGTTCTCCACTGCCTTAACTTCTTTGGGTCTGTCACTGGATCTAACCAACGCCTTTATCCACTGTGCCATGTGTCCTTGAGGACATCTGGGTATGAACTTCTGAGTATTATAAACCTAATGTTTTCTAGAACAGTCTACACCAGTGATCGAAATAAAGTGTTCAGTTCGAAATTCCAACCACCTGAAGAAGGCCCGAGCGTACAACGGCCGAAACGTTGTGACAAATATGGCGACAAAGATGCGGATAACAGATTTTGTCTCACATTTCACACATTTGAGACTCTCTATCAGCTGCATGCTTTCCAGCCAACTTTAATCTGCAAATATTTAAATGCAATATCAACCGTTATCTACTGTCGTCTTGATTTCTCTTTTCTTGTTCTCGTTCCTTAATAATGCTTCTCTTTTGTCATATTCTGTCGCACACTGTAAACACTTGAAAACAAATGGAACAATAAGAACTTACACACTACACATTAATCTTTTGAGCCCTGATTACCGCTTTAACGGTGGTAGAGAAAAATGACCTAATGCCTAGCCACAGGTCGAACGGTATTAGAGTAAAATGAGTTAATGCCCAGCCACCGGTTGAAAGGAGGTGGAGAAAAATGACTTAATGCCCAGCCACCGGTTGAACGGAGGTAGAGAAAAATGATTTAATGCCAATCCAACGGTTGAACGGAGGTAGAGAAAAATGACTTAATGCCCATCCACCGGTTGAACGGAGGTAGAGAAAAATGACTTAATGCCAATCCAACGGTTGAACGGAGGTAGAGAAAAATGCCTTAATGCCCATCCACCGGTTGAACGGAGGTAGAGAAAAATGCCTTAATGCCCAGCGACCCGTTGAACGGAGGTAGAGAAAAATGACTTAATGCCCAGCCACCCGTTGAACGGAGGTAGAGAAAAATGCCTTAATGCCCAGCCACCGGTTGAACGGAGGTAGAGAAAAATGCCTTAATGCCCAGCCACCGGTTGAACGGAGGTAGAGAAAAATGCCTTAATGCCCAGCCACCCGTTGAACGGAGGTAGAGAAAAATGACTTAATGCCCAGCCACCGGTTGAACGGAGGTAGAGAAAAATGACTTAATGCCAATCCAACGGTTGAACGGAGGTAGAGAAAAATGACTTAATGCCCAGCCACCCGTTGAACGGAGGTAGAGAAAAATGACTTAATGCCCAGCCACCCGTTGCCAATCCACGGTTGAACGGAGGTAGAGAAAATGAAAACCTGAACGGAGGTAATGCCCAGCCACCCGTTGAACGGAGGTAGAGCCACCCGAAAAGGTAGTGAAAAATGACTTAATGCCAAGCCACCGGTTGAACGGAGGTAGAGAAAAATGACTTAATGCCCAGCCACCCGTTGAACGGAGGTAGAGAAAATGACTTAATGCCCAGCCACCCGTTGAACGGAGGTAGAGAAAAATGACTTAATGCCCAGCCACCCGTTGAACGGAGGTAGAGAAAAATGACTTAATGCCCAGCCACCCGTTGAACGGAGGTAGAGAAAAATGACTTAATGCCCAGCCACCCGTTGAACGGAGGTAGAGAAAAAGGACTTAATGCCCAGCCACCCGTTGAACGGAGGTAGTGAAAAATGACTTAATGCCCAGCCACCCGTTGAACGGAGGTAGAGAAAAAGGACTTAATGCCCAGCCACCCGTTGAACGGAGGTAGAGAAAAAGGACTTAATGCCCAGCCACCGGTTGAACGGAGGAAAAAGGACTTAATGAGAAAAGGTGAGGACTTAATGCCCAGCCACCCGTTGAACGGAGGTAGAGAAAAAAGGACTTAATGCCCAGCCACCCGTTGAACGGAGGTAGAGAAAAATGACTTAATGCCAATCCAACCCGTTGAACGGAGGTAGAAAAAATGACTTAATGCCCAGCCACCCGTTGAACGGAGGTAGAGAAAAGGAAATGCCCAGCCACCCGTTGAACGGAGGTAGTGAAAATGACTTAATGCCCAGCCACCCGTTGAACGGAGGTAGAGAAAATGGACCCGTTAACGGAGGTGCCCAGCCACCCCGGTTGAACGGAGGTAGAGAAAAAGGACTTAATGCCCAGCCACCCGTTGAACGGAGGTAGATGACTTAATGCCCAGCCACCCGTTGAACGGAGGTAGAGAAAAATGACTTAATGCCCAGGACCGCTGAACGGAGGTAGAGAAAATGACAATGCCACCGGTTGAACGGAGGTAGAGAAAAATGACTTAATGCCCAGCCAACCGTTGAACGGAGGTAGAGAAAATGACTTAATGCCCAGCCACCCGTTGAACGGAGGTAGAGAAAAAATGACTTAATGCCCAGCCACCCGTTGAACGGAGGTAGAGAAAAAGGAACCACCCGTTAATGCCCAGCCACCCGTTGAACGGAGGTAGAAAAATGACTTAATGCCCAGCCACCCGTTGAACGGAGGTAGAGAAAAAGGACTTAATGCCCAGCCACCCGTTGAACGGAGGTAGAGAAAAATGACTTAATGCCCAGCCACCGGTTGAACGGAGGTAGAGAAAAAATGACTTAATGCCCAGCCACCGGAGGTAGAGAAAAATTGAACCAACGGGAGGTAGAGAAAAATGACTTAATGCCCAGCCACCGGTTGAACGGAGGTAGAGAAAATGCCTTAATGCCCAGCCAACCGTTGAACGGAGGTAGAGAAAATGACTTAATGCCCAGCCACCCGTTGAACGGAGGTAGAGAAAATGACTTAATGCCCAGCCACCCGTTGAACGGAGGTAGAGAAAAATGCCTTAATGCCCACCCACCCGTGAACGGAGGTAGAGAAAAATGACTTAATGCCAATCCACCGGTTGAACGGGTTGAACGCCCAGCCACCCGTTGAACGGAGGTAGAAAAATGACTTAATGCCCAGCCACCGGTTGAACGGAGGTAGAGAAAATGACTTAATGCCAACCGGTTGAACGGAGAAAAAAGGACTTAATGCCCAGCCACCCGTTGAACGGAGGTAGAGAAAAATGACTTAATGCCCAGCCACCCCTTGAACGGAGGTAGAGAAAAATGCCTTAATGCCCAGCCACCCGTTGAACGGAGGTAGAGAAAAATGACTTAATGCCCAGCCACCCGTTGAACGGAGGTGAGAAAAATGACTTAATGCCCAGCCACCCGTTGAACGGAGGTAGAGAAAAATGACTTAATGCCCAGCCACCCGTTGAACGGAGGTAGAAAAAAATGACTTAATGCCCAGCCACCCGTTGAACGGAGGTAGAGAAAATGACTTAATGCCCAGCCACCCGTTGAACGGAGGTAGAGAAAAATGACTTAATGCCCAATCCACCCGTTGAACGGAGGTAGAGAAAATGACTTAATGCCCAGCCACCGGTTGAACGGAGGTAGAGAAAAATGACTTAATGCCCAGCCACCCGTTGAACGGAGGTAGAGAAAATGCCTTAATGCCCAGCCACCCGTTGAACGGAGGTAGAGAAAATGACTTAATGCCCAGCCACCGGTTGAACGGAGGTAGAGAAAATGACTTAATGCCCAGCCACCCGTTGAACGGAGGTAGAAAAAATGACTTAATGCCCAGCCACCGGTTGAACGGAGGTTGGTTGAACGGAGGTAGAGAAAATGACTTAATGCCCAGCCACCCCTTGAACGGAGGAGAGAAAATGAAAATGCCCAGCCACCCGTTGAACGGAGGTAGAGAAAAAGGACTTAATGCCCAGCCACCCGTTGAACGGAGGTAGAGAAAAATGACTTAATGCCCAGCCACCCGTTGAACGGAGGTAGAGAAAAATGCCAA